AAATAAAAAATAAAAAAAAAAATAAAACGCCAATTTAAAAAAATCCTAGGATATTTTAATGACATGGGCAAATGTTTACAATGTAGTGCTAAGCAAAGAAGTAGGATGAAAATTGTATACCCAGCAGTTTACTGATTATGTTAAATAAAAAGTGCACAGAAAAGAAGACTATACAAAAATAAACTAAAATATTTGTTATCCAAAAAGCTTTTTTTAAAGGAGTCATGCTTCCATTGCTTGAGTTTCTACCAAGTGTCAGGCAGATGAAGATCTTTCCTCTCCAGCAGTGGAGAACAGGAAACCGGGGACAGCGACCCTGAGAGGTCAGCAGACCCAGACACTCTGTCCTCTCTGACCCAGACTCCCTGGGTGACCCTTCCAGGCCTCAGTCCTCCTCCCACACAATGAGAGAGGGCCACAGATGCCCCCTCTGGAGACCCATCCAGCCTCTTGGGGTTTTCCCAAGAAACACCTGCACCCTCCCACCCCCATCAGGGCCAAACATCCAGGATGGTCCCAGCACAATAGTTTGTTGTCATAAATACCTTGTTCCACACCTGAATGTCCAGCAACAGGGAAATGAGAAATAAGGTAGGGTGGTCACCTGCTGGGACACTCCACTGAGAAGGAATGAACTATTTATGCCTCTGTTTCTCATCCTGGCTAGACCCTGACAACTTAATGATCAGGCAAGGAAAAGAAAAACGACATTGCAGAAGAATCTCACAGCTGGGTAGCATTTTTGGAGATCTTTAAAACACAGAAAAACAATTCTATGTATTATTTATGCATCCATATCTATAATAAATTCTTAAAGGCACAGACTAGAAAAGACTATATTTCATGACAATGGTTGCCTCTGGGGAGGGAGAAAAGCAGGACTGAGGGAGAGACAAGGTGGAGAGGCTTCAATTTTATCTGTCACTTTTAATAATTTTATTTAAAAAAAAATCAGAAGCAAACATAACAAAATGCTAACATTTAATACTGGGTGGAGGGTTCATGGGATAGTTAGTATATTATTCCCTTCACTTTTCTTTATTTTAACATTTCCCCCCCCCCCAAAAAAATGGATAGTGAAGAGAAAGCCATGGGATAAAGGAACCAATATCTATTGAAGCCTTTCTCTGTGCTGGCCAAAGTCTACAGCAGTGGTTCTCAAAGCGTGGTCCCTGGACCAGCAGCGACAGCATCACGTGGGAATGTAAATTCTCAGAGTCCCAAGCGGACCTACTGAACCAGGAACTCTGGGGTCAGGGCCCAGAAATCTGTGTTTTAACAAGCCTTCCAGGTGATTCTGGTATACTGCCAAAGTTTGAGAAGCACTGGGCTAGACTGTGATAGCTATGACAATAGTTCACGTGTATTAACATGTATACCTGTCATGTTGTGCTCTAAGAGCTTTCCATCAATAACAACCTAACCTTCAAAACGACCCTGTGAGGGAGTCATTATTATTAATAACCCCAACCTATAGGTGTAAACACGGAGGCACAGGAAGGCCAAATCCCTTGCTCAAGGTCAACAGGCAGGTTGCTCCCAGAATCCCACTTCCCCTTGCATGACCCCCATGGACTCTAGCTCATTATAGCCTTGGAGAAAGATAATAGCCCCATCTGACAGAGGAGGAAACTGGAATTGGGCGAGAGAGAGCGACTTGGCCCAAGGTCTGACGAAGAGGAAAGTGACGGGGCAGACACCCTGTGGTCGGTCTGTCCGGGAGGTTTTGAGTTTTGACCCACAACTGCTGGGGACCAGCGCCTAGCGCGGGAGGAGGCGGGAGCGCGGCGAGCTGGCCCAGCTGCAGCCCAGCCCGGGCGTGGTTCGCACGTCACGCCTACGGCCATCTGTCCCCTTCCCCACGACGGCTGCCAACCCGCTGCCAACCCGCCGTGACCCGTCACCCACCCCCACCAGGAACCGTAAGGACCTTTCCCTCCCGGTCTCCGTGAAGCCCCATCCCTTCCTTCTCGTTTTTCTTTTCCTTTGCAGAAAGGGAACCTGGACGGCTCCGAGAAGTGGAGGCTGGATGGAAGTCACTCGGTGGCCAGAGCTCCCCGCCCCAGAGCTGCTCCAGGTTCGCAGCCGGGCCATCTCCTCCGCCCGCCCCTCATCCCCTGCCCGCCGGCCGCTCCCCCCGCCCGCCCCTTCCCGCCGCACCCCAGCCGGCCCTGCCCACCACCCCGGGCTCCCCCCGCAGCGAAGACCCTCAGGCGGCGCTCGGCGGCCGGGTCCGCGCCACTCACCTGGGCGCCCGCTCCTCGTCCTGCGGGCAGCCCGGATCCTCGCAGCTCGAGCGCCCCCCCAGCTCAGCAGCCCCCGGGGTCCCGGGGCGCCCGTGCCCGAAGGGAGACGGGCTGACTTTCGGGAAGAGGCAAGAGCCCTGCTCTGAGGGGCCTGGGCGCCGCGCGGCTTCTCCGGCTCCCCTGACGCTGAACCGCCCGCGTCCCCTCCCGCTGGCCTCTAGGCCTCGGTGGTGCGTCCCGGCTGGCAGGGACGCGGTGGCACCCACAGGCCATCTGGGTTCCTTAGCCGCGCCCTGAGCGATTCTAACCCCACCCTCATGCAGCCTAACCCCGCCCCTGAAGAGTCTAACCCCACCGCAGGGACTCTAATCCCACACCCCACCTCCCAGACCCTAATCCCACCGCCCAAGGACTTTTTTTTTTTTAAGATTTTATTTATTTATTTGATAGAGAGAGGGACGGCGAGAGAGGGAACACAGCAGGGGGAGTGGGAGAGGGAGAAGCAGGCTTCCTGCGGCGCAGGGAGCCGGATGCGGGCTCGATCCCAGGACCCTGGGATCAGGACCTGAGCCGAAGGCAGACGCCCAACGACTGAGCCACCCAGGCGCCCCTCACCGCCCAAGTACTTTTTTAAATAAAGATTTTATTTGTTTATTTGAGAGAGAGCGAGAGAGAGAATGAGAGCAGGAGCAGAGGCAGAGGAAGAAGCAGATTTCCCGTTGAGCAGGGATCCCGGTGAGAGACTCGGTGCCAGGACCCTGGGACCATGACCTGAGCGGAAGGCAGACGCTTAACCGACTGAGCCATCCAGGCGTCCCCAAGGATTTTTTTTTTAAACACAGCCCATCCGAGGCTTCTAACTCTGCCCCTAAGGATCCTAACCCCGCCCGGAAGGATAATAAACCCGCCCCTAAGAATTTTAATCCGTCCCCCAAAGATTCTAACCCCACCCCCTCCTCCAAATACCTTAACACCTGTCCTAATGCATTATAATCCCCGCCTCCCCAAACCCTAATGCGGTCCCCAAAGGGATTAAACCCGTCCTCACAAGAACTGCAACACCATCTCTTCCCAAAATCCTAATTCTGCCCCCAAAAGGATTTTGAATCTCACATTTGAAGGATTTTTTAGCCTCAGCCAACCGGAGTTTTCTAATCCTGCCCCCAAGGATTCTAATCCAGCCAACCAAAGGAGCCTAACCCTCCTCTTCAAAGGATTCTGACCCAGCCCTCCAGATTCATAACCCTAACCCCAGGGAATCTAATCCTGCTCCTGGATAATCCCAATCTTGTTCCCAAAGGATTTTAATCCACCCCTCAGGATTCCAATCCGATCCATCCAAAAATTCCAACCCTACCCTCAAGGATTTTAACCCCTCATCAAAAGATTCCAACTCAGCCCCCAAGGATCCTAACCCCTATCCTCGGCACTCTCACAGGATTCTAATCGCCCTCTCCCGCCCCCCCCCCCCTTAGCATTCTAATCGGGTTTTCCCTACCATTTCAATCCACTCCTACAAGCCCAGGCCCCTCCCCCACACCGTGTCCCAAGCCTTCCGGGTCCTTCTGTGGTCTGTGGGTTCCACTCCACAGGCCCCGCTCTATTCAAAGGGCATGCAAAGTTTCTCACCCGCAGGCACCGCCCTGGCTCATTCTTGGCCGGTTTCCGGCAGCTCGGATGACTTTGAAAATTGAGGGGGCGGGATGCCCGGCTGGAGGGTCCCACATGAATGAGATGTGCCCAGGACCAGGCAAGGACAGAGCACATCTGCTCCTGGAAAAAGAGAGGTATTGTCGCACTAAATTCTGCCAAGTACACTTCCAAGATGTGTAAGAATCTTACAGCCTTTCTGTATTCCCACTGCTACCAGCCACTTCAGGCTACCATCATCTCTTCATTCACTCATCCATTCATTCATTCATTAATTCAGCAATACTCTGCTGAGTGCAGGGCTACACAGGGCTTCTCAACTTCAGTACTATTGACATTTGAGCTGCATAATTCTTCGTTGTAGGGGGGTTGTCCTGGGCAAGGTAGGATGATGAACAGCATTCCTGGACTCCACCTACCAAATGCCAGTAGCAACCTCCTTCTCCATTTGCGACAACCAAAAATGTCTCCAAACATAATTAAATGTGGGGGGGGGGCGGGCAGAACCATGAATTAAAAGATAATGACCCTGCTCTAATGTGTTTGCTATCTGTGCTCAGATACACATATGTGATTTTAAAAATAAATTTTTAAAAGATTTATTTATTGATTTTAGGTGGGGAAGGGCAGAGGGAGAGGGAAAGTCTTAAGCGAACTCCACGCTGAGCGCAGACCCCGATGTGGAGCTCCATCCCAGGACCCTGAGATCATGACCTGACCTGAAACCAAGGGTTGGACGCTCAACTGACTGAGCCACCCAGGTGCCCCTTTAAAAATAATTTTAATTCTGTGTTTAGTTTACTTTAATAGTACTTAATTTTGTGCTTTCCCCTCCAATTCCATCACTGTTATTAACATTTAGCCATGTTGCTAAAGGTCATTGTCTACATCTCCACAGTTTATTTGTCCATCCCCCTAGTCATGGACACCTAGGTGGCACACAGCTTTGGGCTACCATGTCCCTGATGGACTGGTGTAAGAATTTTGTAAAGATTTGCTTTGCCAAGAATGATGGATGCTTGCAGATGGCTGCTGCCAAAATTCTTCTCCTAACATTTCCCCACATCTTTTTTTATTTAAATTAATTCAAACAGTCTTATAGAACACCCAGTGCTCATTACATCACATGCCCTCCTTAATGTCCATCACCTAGTTACCACATCCCCCCAACCCCCTCCCCTCATTTCCCCACATCTTGACTGACTCTTGGTATCATCCATCAGTCTTTAAAAAAAAAAAAAAAGATTTCATTTATTTATTTGAGAGAGAGAGAAAGACAGCAAGAGCAGGGGAGGGGCAGAAGGAGAGAAGACTCCCCACTGAGCAGGAAGCCCGACACAGGGGCTCAATCCCAGGACCCTGGGATCATGACTTGACCAAAGGCAGATGCTCAACCAACTGAGTCACCCAGGTGCCCCTCATCCATTAGCCTTAATTTGAGTTCCCCAGAAGTAGACCCTAGACATGGATTCAAGTGAAAGTAGGTTATTTTTTTTTAAAGATTTTATTTATTTATTTTGACAGAGAGAGACACAGTGAGAGAGGGAACACAAGCAGGGGGAGTGGGAAAGGGAGAAGCAGGCTCCCCGCTGAGCAGGGAGCCCGATGCGGGGCTCAATCCCAGGACCCTGGGATCATGACCTGAGCCAAAGGCAGACGCTTAACAACTGAGCCACCCAGGCGCCCCTGAAAGTAGGTTATTTGGAAGATGCAGAAAACACTGGTAGGGGTGTAGGTGGATAAGATAGGAGAGGGAAGAAAACCAATTAAGAGAGCATTGCAACCAATTACAACTGTGGGCTCCTGGAACTCACTCCTGCTGGAGAGGGAATTCTGAAGACACTAGTATTCCCACTCCATAATTACCTTTCCTGGAAGATGAGGGCGCTGAGGCATTTATGTACCAACTCCTGGCAGACATTGGATGAGGGATGCTCCTGGGGGGTATTAATCCTTCAGCACTCTGGCCTGCCCCATGCATACTCCAGCCACCAGAGAGAGAGCCTCCAGGAAGAGAGATACATGTTCTGAGGACACAAGAGGGTCATCATTAGCATCAGCTACACCTTCTTCCATAAGTTTGTCATTCTGATGGCAAAGGACCACAGACAGCTGAAACATTGTCCTGTTAACAGCCAATTCTACCTACCCCTCTTTTTGCTATTGAAGTATGCTGCAGTAAAAATCTGTGCATGTTTCCAAAGCTCCTATCAACTTTACTATGGCATAGTTTTATACATAAAATGCACCATTAAAATACTCAGCTTGATGAATTTTGGTAAAGGTATACACTTGTGTAACAACTACCCTAATCAAGATACAGAACATTTCTACCACTCCAAAGAGTTCCCTTATACCCTATTGCAGTCAACTTCTCCCCCGCTTCATTGCCTGTTTTTGGCTTTTTGTCTATTGTAGATTAGCTTTGTCTTTTCTAGAATTTTAAATAAATGCAATCATACCATATGTTTCTTTTATGTCTGTCTTCTTTTACTTCCATATTACTTTTGAGATTTTCCATGTTGTTACATTTTGCAGTATTTTGTTCCTTTTCACTGCTGAGTAGTATCCCACAGTATAGATGTATCACTATTTGTTTATCCATTTACTTGATGGACATTTGCGTTGTTTTCAGGTTTTGGTTACGTGAATAAAGCTGCTATGAACCTTCATGTACAAGCCTTTGTATGGACATGCTTTATTTCTCTTGAGTAAATACTTAGGACTGGAGTTGCTGGGTCAAGTGGTAAGTGTATATTTTAGTATATGTGCTGCCGAAGCGAGCACGGTAAGTGTATATTTTAACCTGAAAATCCACTGCTACATTGGTTTTCAAAGCAATTATACCATTTTGCATTCCGACCAGCAATGTATGGTTTCCAGTTTCTCCACATCCTTGCCTATTTGGTATTGTCATTCTTTTTAATTAAAAAAAAATATTTCCCGTCTAACTCATATTAGCATCAAAGAACATTTATATTACAAATTTATCCTAAAACACTGCCTTACCAGTACTTGGGGTGGCAAACATTTTATCGATTCATTCATTCATTCATTGTCATGGGGAATATAGCTGACCGCAAGAAGTAGTGCTAAATGCTGCATCTTTGGCATCAATCTAGAGTTCCAACCCTGGCACTGCCATTTATCAACTGAATGACCTTGAACAAATCAAATCACTTCTCTGAGCCTCAGTTTCCTCATCTATCGAGTGGAAATGACAATAGTACTTATCTCAGTGAATCATCATGAAAATCAATTGACATCTTATGGGCAAGGGTGATAGGATTACAAGAAAAATAAATCAGAGCAAGAGGGTGGGATGTGACTTGAGACAGAGTGGCCAGGGTAGACCTCTCTGAGGAGGTAGCATGTAGCAGAGACCTGCTGAACTGGGGGAGTGAGCCATGTGATAATCTGGGGGAAGCGTGTTCCAAACAGAAGGAACAATAACGGCAAAAGTCCTGAGGTGCAACTGCACTTGGTGTGTTTAAGGAATAAAGGAGGCCATGTAGCTGGATCAGAGTGGGTGCAGAGGAGAGTGATGGAAATGACGTTGGAAAGATAGTGAAATCAGAATGTGAGGCCAAGAAGTCTTGGTGTTGATATAAAACT